GATGGTACCACGAAATAAGAAACATTAATAGAAATAATAGTTTGTCATTACCCTCTGTAGAGAGTTGATAAATAGTTAAATTTAATTGATCTGTTGTTTATCAATTTGTCCAATGAGAAAAAGTTGACATTACTGACTATCATAGATTAAATTTTTATATTTGTATTTGAATTTCCTGATATTTAATCTCTTCAATTGATCGTACAATGAATTATAGAGTTTTACAGCACCAAAAAGAAATAGTCTCTGAAACTATGCAGTGCGATGTTGTGGCATAGTTGATTTGTTTCATGTCTAATGTTTCTTGAGTGAATATATTCAATTAGTTTTTGTAGTAAAAGGGGAGAATGGGAAAGGGTAATCAATTCATGAACAAAACAACCCCCGTTTGGGACAGCGGGAGTTTTAAAAGGCTTCAGAAATTGAAACATACTTACGAAAACCATAACAACAAGAATTTTGCACTTCTTATATTCTTTTTTTATTTGAATAATATCAGTATGGCCCATATGTGAAGTCACAATAGTTGAAATGGTAGCACCAAACTACCACAAAGCATTCTTTTTAGAGGTTGGCTCGAAATGAAACGATTACAGTATAACAGTTTCAAAGACATACAAACTTTTTTATTAAATTTTCAACATGACTAGTAAATCTTAGATTAGTGTCAAGCGTCACCCCTAAGATTTTAGCTTTACTGACAGGAGTCAAGATAGTATGATCTAGTTCTAAATGGAAATTGTTTTCTGCAAATTTACGATGCTTCTGCGATCCAAAATGCATCATCATTGTTTTATTAGGATTAACTTTCGAATCATGTTCACTTGATAGCCCATTGATCAAATCAAGATCATTGTTGAAGAGATTTTGTGCCTCAGCATACTCATCGATTTTAAAGTGCATATATAATTGTATGTCATCAGCATACGCCTATATTTTACATTTCTTGATGGACAAGCTATATCAGTAGTATAAATGATGAACAATAAAGGTCCTAAAGTGGAACCCTGTATTACTTCTGATAGAATATCAAGAGGTAAGGAGTGATGACCATCAACAACAACTTTTTGAGATCGACCAAGTGAATAAGACCAGATAAGAAATAAGGAAGCACTATCAAAACCATAAAATTTCAGTTTCATGCAAATCAGCTCATGATTGATGGTATCGAATGCTTTCGGAAAATCTAGTAGAACCAGAGTTCTAATCATTCCCTTATCAAATCCCTCAACAATATATTGTGTAACAGAAACAAGAGCTGTAGCCGTACTAAAACCTTGCCTAAAACCACATTGCGATGGTGATAACAGATTATTGGTATTGAAACATTCATTGATTTGGGAATAAATAACTCTTTCAAAAACTTTACTCATGGTTGTGGGAGTATACTGATAATTTTGAGATCAGAATTACTAGCTGGATGATTATTTTTGGGAATGGGTTTCCCGACGGCAATTTTCCACAGGTCTGGAAAATATGAATGTTCAAACCAACAATTGATGATATGTGTGATATATTTATCTATAAACGGGTTATGAAGTTTCAACATCTGATTTCGATTCTGTAATTTGTTTCAACGGAACAAATGACAAATCTGACAGTAATCAAAGACTTATGATGCAATTGGCCGATACTTGATGAAAATCCATAACTGACGTATTCAAAAAACAATTCATTGTGGGATTTTCACTAAACAGATTTACAAAAACGCAACACGTGTTTCGCCATACAATGGCTTTTTCAGGCGTCATGAAACATGCAGGTCCGTAATGAACAAAATGGGTCAGAACGTTGCCCAGAGAGTACGAAACGTTGAATACGAAATCTAATTACTTCAAATTGGGGAAAACTAACTATCGAATGAAAATGCCTGTTACATTTTTTGATAATTTCTAAAATAACGTGGGAAAAAAGAAAATCCCAATAACCGGCCCTGATATTCTAGAATTGACAGTGCTTCTATGATTGCAACTTTTTCTCTATTTCACCGACCTTCTACCTCTCATGGTTTCAGAGTAACCAATACAATCCAATTGAAAAAGTAACCACTTTGTATATCTCTGGAATATATCTCAAAGCCAATCTTGTTCTTGAGAATTATACACAATTTTTCAAGTAGATATTGATAAATACCTTTTGTTTCTTGCGACGTATGAGGTTGAAATGAGTTTATGGCACATTAAATTTTCTTCAAATCTACCACTCACTTTGCCACCAGCCGAACCTCCCTGGAGGAGCCTTCAGTTCTGAATTTGTTCAGGATTCCAGTGTTAGATTTATGATTCCTGACCCGAAGAAGTGCATCCCGAATAGTTCTCTCATAGTCTCTCCTCCTTTTTCGTATGCTTCTCGATTTTTTTCAAGATTGTATTGAGACCTGAGACCCCTTTGAAAGTATCTTATATTTAGAATTTAGAGTATGGCGCATACTTAGGTTTGTTCGAACTCCTTGAATTGCCTTCTTTATGAGCCTCTCTAAGATTTCGTTGGAATTTTGTTGTATTCAGTTAGGATACTTTTGTTTTGATCCCAGATACCTGATTTCCGTACCCTTCAGAAGGATTTTTTAGTTTATTGTCGCATCCATGACAAAACTTCATTTCACCAGCACATGAAATGTTTCTATGCTTCAAAAGATTGATTACAATTATTTTTGATATTGTATCCAGAAATAGCTATAGACCTGCTATAAAATACATATATAGCACTGCTCTATGTGAAATATGTATAATGTACCAAATTTTAGAATCAATCCACCTTTCATATGCAACACGAAATAAACCCACGATCTTTCGATCGTGAGTCGAACGCACTACCACCGCGGCCAATTCCACAACATTGTCATTATACAGGGTCTAAAAGCCAAACTGAATAAATTAATTCAACCCCGTTGGAATGCCAGGAACAACTCCCAATTTTTTAAAAGATAAGTATAAATGTGTGATATATCGTTTGAAAGGTCTCTTCATTCTCTATTGAAAAACGTTATCGTTTTCAAGTTTATTGCAACAATTAAGATAAAATAAATTAAAATCATATGGTTAAGTCATTCATCCGAAGGTTGAGTTTTGTACACATTGCTCTTTACATATCTCCATAAAATGAAGTCTAATGATCAGGTAATTACGCTGGCCTTTCAATCGATCTTCCAATCCACCGATTGGAAAATGTTGTATCGAGGTAATGTCGAACATTAACTTGGTACTGTGGTGATGCTCCATCCTACTGGAACAAATTCACTTGAACTTGAGGGTTTCCTGGATCAGGATATAAATTTGCTAAACTTGGAAAGACATCATTTTGAAGTAGTGCCAAATAATAATCGCTATTCAAGTTGCCCTCAATGAAAAAGGGACCAAAGATATGGTTTCCTACAATTTTGTGATTTCAATTAGGTAAATATTTTCCATTATTTACTTGCATAATCATGTGTATAGCACTTTGTAGTACATGCTCAAGAGGTAGCAAAAACATATGTGACTTTCTGGAACTTCAACTAGCGTTTCCAAATATGACTGAAACCCAGTCCGTGCAAAGCTTTTTGTTGAATCATCTGAAAATAGAACTTTTAACGGTTGATGATCAACTGTATTGCCAAATGTACGCCAACCTAACTATTATAAGACAACAAGTATAGCGTAGTGCCTCAATCTAATGATAACACTGATAATCTTCAAAAATGACTCAACCTCTGACGGAAGCACAAAACTCTTACGACGTTTCTTCAGTCTAGCAGACCACTATTATAATCTTCATGCAGTCATTGTTCGTTGTGCTTCTGGCGCTGAATCTGGTCATTATTACGCATTGGTCAAAGACGGCCGGTTTAGGTTTGACGATAGTCGTGACACTGAATATTCTGGCGATATCTTGAATTTATTGAAGCCTCTGGAGACACCTTACATTTTATTCTATGGACAAAATCTTCAGATGATGTGGTGCTGCAGGTTTTTCCGGGTTTTCCTGCAGTTGAAAAAGCAAATGCGCGAATGAAATCAATGAAATCGCCACGGAGCGCCAATTGATTTTTGTTGTTGTTTCACAATTTCATAATTTGTATTATTTTCGTATCTATTCCAATTATAGTTCTTTTTAATGACTATATTGAAAATTATTTCCAAATTACTAGGTTCAAAATCTGTTTTAAATCTGTTTTCCGATGTCGCCCCCATACGAACGACAACTTTCAGAAGTTGAGAAACTCGTGCGAGCTAAGGACTTACGAGGTCTTACCTTTCAACGTGTGATTTCCTAACACGGTTGCAGAATCATCCCAGCTTCAACCAGATAAATTCTCCCGAGTAAAATATCTGATCGAGGATCGAGGCGGGAATCGAACCCACGGCCTTCCGATCGTAAGTCGGGCGCACTACCAACGCGGTATCTGATTACTTTCATTTTCAGTCTCATTGTTAGATATTGAAAAATGAAATTTACAAATTCATTGTATTACTTTTGTCAAATGTGATTCTGATAAGATATTTCTTCTCCTAAAACCCATAAAACTCTTTCAACTATGTTTGTACTTTCAAATAACGAATAACATCATATAACAACCAGAATTACATGTTGTTTTTGTAGAGATGATTATATAAGAGAAATGTTAATATTTCTCATTTTGATGAAAGTAGGTATATTAAAATAATCTCTGTCCCGTTTTAGGGACAGGGAAAATAAAAACATCACGTAGAGATTTTTCACTCAAAACTGTTGACTGTACATTAAACTCGGTTCTTACATCCCATCAATTTTTCGAACTGGTGAAGAATGGGAAATAAATAAATGTCCTCGTCCTTTTCATACAAACTATGTTGATCATGTTGGTCCATTTATTGAAAGTAGAAATGGCAACAAATACATTTTTGTTATGGTCGACTCGTTCACTCATTTTTGGAGTACCACTGCGTATAATATCGGATGTAGGCAAAGCATTTTCATCCAACAAATTTAAACATTTTTGCGATGAACAAGATATTCGCCATTATCAAAACTCTATAGCTATGCCTCGCGCAAATGGTCAGGTGGAACGATACAATAGGACAATTGTAGACGCTGCCGCAACAATGAGTGCTAATTTGGAAGAAGAAGATTGGGACGAAAACATATCTAAAATTCAGTTAGCAATCAATAGTACCTTCAATAAAACAATACAGACGACACCTAGTGAAGTTTTAGTTGAGTTTCAATTGAACTTGGGGAATGACCGCTACGTCACTCTTGTCCACGATCCCCTAACGATTGACGTAAAATCGTTGGATGTTGCAAAAAGATTGGAGGAAAATCGTGAAAGGCAGAATAAAATTTTCAATATGAGACGTAAAACAGTTCCGGTTTACAAAATAGGAGATTTGGTGCTCGTAAAAGTAACTAATTTCAAAAATGATGGAAACAGTAAGAAATTAGTCGAAAAATATAAAGGGTCATTCAAGATAAAACAGAATTTAGGAAATGATAGATAGGTATGTGAAGAATTAGGGTCAGAAAGGTGCCAAAACGCAAACCGTTATGAGGGAGTCATCGGTGTGGAACATCTCAAACCGTTCACAGTAAGAGACGACAATTAGTGAGTGAAAATCCAGTCATAATTTAGGGATTGAAACTAAATTCATGATTAGGAGTTGAAGTTGGGGATTAAACCAACCGGCAAGGATAACTCAGGAATTAAACTGAGTTACAAAAAAAAAAGTCATAATTTAGGGATTAAACTAAATTCATGACTGGGAGTTGAAGTTGGGGATTAAACCAACAGACACATACAAAAGTTGGGGATTAAACCAACAGACATGAATAACTTAGGGATTGAACTAAGTTATGACACATACACACATACATATACAAAAGTTGAGGATTAAACCAACGGACATAAATAACTTAGGGAATAAACTAAGTTATGACACAAACACACATATACAAAATACATTGTATATATAGGTTTTTATTGGAAAGTTTGTTACAGATTGTTCTGATGGGTGTTCGAACCCATTTGAGGCCAAATGGGGTAGCAGGATGGCCGAATGTTAGGGAGTGCGTTAGGATCAGAGGAGCTCCGTACATCCCTGGACATTATCTTGTTGGGAGTACTGGATGGGACAGCCCTGAATATCACCTGATAGGTTTACATAAGAGGATGATACATTCCTTTGTGTGTTAAAATATGTTTAAGTGGGGCAGTCTGAAACTGACATTGTTGTTGAATAGACTAGTAAATGTTATGAAGTTGGTGGTGTTATAAGTGTTTTAATATCGTTGTTAGCCAGTGAGGTATTCCTAACAATATATATCGATGATTTTGAAACTTTTGTCATTCACGAAAACATTTCTTTCACAATACCAACGATATACGAAAGATTTTGGCATATGAGAGTGGCATATACATTACGAATAATAATCTTTTCATTAACATAAAAAGCATATTCGTTCATTTGTTTTACTGTAGAGAAAAGTGAAGTAACCATTTTGACTCACGCACTAAGAATAATTTACTGATAAAAATACTGATTAGGACGCGGGGGTTTTATCATTAATTCATATTCTTCAAGCAATAAACTATGCAATTTTTTTTTAAAAAAATCCATTGTTTTCAATACTTTTCAATATGACACGACAGCTGCTACAGTTTTTCTAAACAGGATACATTGGTCTTTAAAATTGGCTATTGTAACTATTCATAATTATGATTGATCATTTATAGAATGCATTTATTTTATGAAACTTTGACTTTTCTGAAATTAACAAAACCATTATCAACAGTCCAAAATAATTTTATGAAACATTATTTTCTTATTGAAACAATTTGTTGAAAAATGAAGTGAAGAAACAAAAACGCGAATAATTACTGTTCTTTGTTAATAAAAAAACCCCAAAATCAAAACATTCAAAAACATTACCCTCATTTCTTTGATATTTATATAATATTCCACTCAAATTTAAGAACATTCATTCCATATTCCAAGTATGTACATGAGAAGAGCTCCACGAGGTGATTTTTTTTAGGTTGCAAATTTGAAATATTATTCAATTATTCAGCAGAGCAGAGATCCGATAATAATTTATCAATAACGAAAGCATAACTTTGTGAAAAACGGGGACATTTTTCCCAACGAGAGCTTATTCTTTGACATGTTTTGAATGAGCCCTATTTTTTTCAAATTTTCAAATATACATTTATTGTTTTGAAAAAAATATTTTCAGTGAAACGCCATTTTCAGCGGCTATGCGTCTGTGTTGAAAGAGGCTCACGGAACCGTTTTTTCAGCGTTAAATTAAAATTATAAGTAATGGAGCTACATTCTCGAAGATTGGGACTTTTTTATGGGGAATTTCCTCTTCATCTATAATCCTTTTGGTTCATTTCTTGAATATTTATATTTTCAATGTTATCAAAAAAAAAACACGAATACCTCATTTTTCCTCAATCATTTTGTTTATAACTACCGTAATTATTAACCCACTGTGAAATCCGTTGAATTCATTTTTCAACATGTTGCCTAGAATGCCTAGAATTAGAACAAATCGAATCATGACGTTCTTTTTCACAGCGAAAATTAAAAATTTCACTGGTGTGCCTGATTTAGGAGCTGTGTAGGTATGTGACATATCAAAAAGTGGTTTTCATAGAAAGTATTGAAAAGTTCATTGAAAATAGATAATTTTGGGGGTTTGATAAAAAAATCTACAACTATAAAAAGTCTTTTGAAATTTGTTATAGATATAAAATCATACAATAATATTGGATGTTTAAAATGAATTATTCTTTTTCCAATTTTTAGTGGACTCACTTTATGTAGGCCTACGGAACAGTTATATGAAATTATTTGTTGCTCTGCTGCTCAAGAAAATATTCTATGGGTTATATACTTTTTTATACTTATAGTGCAATACTGTATTTCTATTCGCTAGAACACGCTCTGAAATGTCTATCTATAACAGTAATTTTATTTCTATTGAGTTGTTTTTCGTCTAAATAGATTCACATCCCCACAGGTCATGGTTCGCACGCTGTAATAATTTCGATACCTAACAACCGGGCTAATCTGATTAATAATAAATATTCAGTTGGATAACAATTGCTCGTGTCAAGATATTCGACGATTAACAGTTGATGAACGCACTAATGTGAACCAAATGTAATAAATTTCTTCTCTAATCACTGAGGTACATTATAATTAGAAAGGAGGTGTGACTATGAAGAGCACGAGAGCCATATTTTATTTATTCAAGATGGTATAAGTGTGAAAGGTCACAGGACGAAAACAATTCGAATAAAAAACTGTATGCATTGAATAAAGAATTATAACTATAACGATTGTTCTTCATGAACTCTCCTTATACGATTTTAGATTATGATAGTGGAAAATTCGTGAAGATCCACAAAAAAAAATTCATTGTTTTCAATACTTTTCAATATGACACGACAAAATATCTTGGGCGTTTTAATAAAAATGCAGGTGGTGGAAGACCAGAAACTGTAACAACGCCTGAACTAGAAGAAGCTATACTCGATGCGATAGAAGAAGATCCTTTAAATAGTACCAGGAAGATTGCCCTACAGCTGGAAGTCAGCCCAAAAAAACCGTATGGACAGTTCTAAAAAGAGAACACCTATACCCATATCACATAAAGCGGGTCCAAGCTCTGCTGCCTCGGAATTTTTACCCAAGATTAACGTTTTACAGGTGGTTAATTCATATGATGGCACAAAATAATAATTTTTCACCAAATATTTCATTTACGGACGAAGCAAATTGTTCATGGGATGCTATTATGAACTTTTTATGAACTTTCACAATGACCATTTTTGGGCCGACGAAAATACCCATGTTATTGGGGAATGTCATTTTCAGCAACAATTTCTGCTGAACGTTTGGGTAGGAATGATTGGTAACTACCTAATTGGCCCATTTTTTTACCAGCAAAATTTACAGGTGAATCACACTGAGTTTTTGGAGGATCATTTCCCATTTTGTTAGAAGTGCCGGTACATTTTTAGGAGGCAACATGTGGTTCATGCACAATGGGACTCCAGTTCATTTCAGTGTTCCTGCTTGTCAGCATCTCGAAATCACCTACCCTAATCGCTGGATTGGACGTGCAGGTCCTCAAAAATTGGCCATCTCGCAGTCCTGACATGAATCCTCTAGATGTATATTCATGGGGTTATCTGAGAGCTCTTGTTTATGATTTGAGGAATCGAATAATTGACAATTGCAATGTTTTAAGGAATACTCCAGGTATTTTTGAACGTGTCAGGGAATCAATGACAAATCGATTGTAGTTGCCTATTTTATCAGATGCTGGACATTTTGCTCACTTACTATGTGGTCGAAATTGTTTACTTCTGGTTTTCATTTTATGTTGTCCATGGATAGTTTTAAGAAGTGATTTTTCTCTCGAAAACGAAGCTTGGTATGAAGAAAACAAAAGCGTCACAAAAGTTGTATTTTTAATTGCTTAGTCTAAAAACTTAACAACTACAAGGAAAGTCAGTGGCTTTTTTTTAATATTTTTGGCTGTGGTGCCCACTAAGACGCTCTGGACCTAATAATTTCAATCTAGTTCGAATTTACTACTTTAAGTAACCGTAGCAAATTTCAACCGAATCGGTGTATCTCAGAAACGAAGCTACTTCGGACACATGTTCATAAAAACTTTTTTCAAACGACCTAGTGAACCATCCTCTGAAGTTACCGTAGTTATGAAACACCCTGTATTTTGAAGAAATAGTTTTTGCGGGCAACAACCCTCATAATAATAATATAAAAATAAGGTACAATATACAAATACAGGTACAAATAAGTTACAACATAGAATGAATGAATAAAGTGATTTTAGAATAAGTGCAAAGCACTTGTTTCCCATAAAAATTGACATATATGTATGAATGGTATTATGTACAAAAAAACATATACATTTAACATTTAGAAAAAATGACAAAATACAGAATATTATAAAAATTTATGAAATGTGAAAATTGTAACAATTCAAGAATGCGTGTGTATATAAATAAATTAATCAGAATACAAAATATAAATACATTTCAAAATGATTATTAAATGAATAAGACAGTAAAAAAACACGAGAAGTACCCAAGTACTTGTTTCGTTATAGCAATAAAACATACATAAACTTAATTTTAAATAGATCTATAAGAATTATAATGAATTTTCAATGAAGTTATGCAATGAATAAAATAACAGGTAGGTATATAAACATTATGATGAAATTTCAATATAATAAAATTTCAATATACTAATATGATAAAAAAATGCGATATTTCAATTTTTGTGTTTCTTCTGAATACTTTTTTTGTGTCTGTGCTCGATTTTATAATTTCAGTATGAGTGATTATATTTGCGACAATATTAGGATTTGTTTGTTCACAAATATTATCCCAAGTTATGTTTTCTAAGACGGTATAGAGTTCATTGTAATTGATGTACCTAACAGTTTTAATATATTT